TCTTTATCTAAAATAATTTTTTGTCATCATCAAAAAGGGGGAGATTGAAAAAACAAGATTAGTTCTGACCTATCTCAAGAGTTTTGATGATAACTAAATTATATTTAAGATAATTTATGCTCTGATGAATGTGTTTTGAATGTCTTAGTTAATGTTCTGACAGAAAATATTCTAAAGTACTAAGCAAAGATTATGAAGAAGTTCTTTGATTAAAGAACCTTTTATTCAAATGCATCTTCTGACTCTAGTAAGAACCTTTACTTGTTAAATGTATCTTCTAACTTCTAGCAGGATCCTTGATTCAGAAGATAACTTGAAAGCAAGCGCTGTTCAAAGTTCTTAGCAAGCAACGCTCTGCCAAGAAGTTGAATGAAGCATGTTCTGACTTAAAGACATTGGAAGCAAATTCTGAAACAATGTCTAAATCAACTTGTCTTGTCAAAGCAAAGGAAACATGTTCTTACATTATGACGTTTGCTCATTAATGTCGGCTGAAAGCACTCAAGTGCCTACAACTAGTTTCTTGGAAAATGGAATATTGCAAGGATACACGCAAAGCATTTAATGCTCTCCATTTTCTCTTAAGGCAGCAACAATCTTATTATTCCTACTATAAGTAGAAGGACATTTATTGCAAGCTAACAACAACGTTGAAATAAGAAACTACGTGAAAAATCCAAAAGCTCACAAACTCATTGTTCATACAATTTGTGTATTATATTCTAAGTGAAAAATCACAGTTGTGATATAGCTTGATTAAAAGCAAACTCTATTTCATTATCTGTAAAGATTAAACTTCTGTATTTGTTCCTTGAGAGACCAAGTTTGGTCAGATTTCTCAAGCAGACTAGGACTAGATTTAAGTCTTAGTGGTGTTAGTCACTTGTAAGTTTACTTGTGCATTGTTAGTCACAACAGTTGTTATATGATTGTAATCAGTTGATTATAGTTGATTAAGTCCTTGTTGAGAAAGGCGAAATCACCTTGGCGGGTGGACTGGAGTAGTTTGAGTTCAAACGAACCAGAATAAAAATAATTGTATTATTCCATTATTGTTTGAGCTTTGTATTGAAAACGAAAGAGTCACTTATTCACCCCCCCCCCCCCCCCCTTCTAAGTGTTTTCTTACTCCTTCAAGAGAGACTTTCCAGAGGGATCTACTGAATCAACAACCTCGGAGGAATTCTGTGATGGAGAGCTATCTTCTAACAAGCTTAGGAAGACAATTAAGCATGAGAAAAGTGATTAGTCGTGGATGTTTTTTATTATGAGTCTTCGTATGGTTTTAGATTGACTATGTGTTAATAATTATCATTGTTTTATTTTTATATTTGTTTGCCTTTTCGATTTGTAATTGTGATTTTAAAGAATATTGTGCTATTAAGTTATGATAAGTTGATGTTAACTCAATTTCCTGCATCTGTGTGCTTCTTTGTAATGATCCTGTATACATTATGTTTATGTTAAATTATTGCGAATTTATCATTCTATTATCACTCCTATTGAGCATCAACTTTTACTCTATTGTTTTGAATCTATATACTCCTGTATAACAGCAATGACAATTTTAGATGTGGCTTTGTGCCAGCATATGCAGATAACCCTCTTCAAAATGGCACCGGGAAATTAGTGTGTGTGCACGACACTTCCAACCTCTGCATTGTCGGCAAGTAACTGGGCACAAATTCAGTTATAGGTTTTCCCTGTCAAATCAGGACGATTCCCATCTAACGTACCCCAAATTTGTCAGCCCCTTATTTCCACAATCAAAAAATATTTTAAACATGGTTTTTATAATATTATTTGATTTTATAAATATTCGCTTACAAACCTATTTAAAAATACAATGATTTATTTAAGATCATTTGTACTTTTGAATAAATAAATATTTGCACACCGTTCGTATACTTTTAAATTGAATTTATTTACAAATCAGTAACATAGCACAATCGGTGAAGAGTGGAGCTTGCAAGCGTAAGGTCACAAGTTAAAATCTCTTATGCCGCACTAATATTTTCTACTGTGTTTCTTATTGGCAATTTGTGTCACACTTTATTTTTGATTGGTCAATTTTGTTTTATTTCCGATTTGGATGATTTTTTTAATCTATAAATATGACATGTTTTTCACACTTCTAGATCATCCACAATTTCCCACAATCCACAAATTTCACAAATCACACATTCACCTTCTCGCTTTTTTACTACTCTTTTGCAATCTCTTTTTTCAAAAGCTTTTCAAAAGCATTGGTGATTTCTATATTTTATCGATGATTTAATATGAGACCCCTGTTTTCAATATTTTTTTTATTTATTTAATTTGTTTGTTCTTATTTTTCAACCAAATGATTAGTATCTGATGGTTTTTTATGTTAAATTATACCATTCCATTACAGTCGACCATCCTCTCCCTATTACTTTCTATTTTTCAATTTTATCCATTTTTCCTTTAAATCTTATTTTATTTATTTTTAACCACATAATAATTTCTGTTTGGTTAAGTTTTTTTAAATCGTTATCCTTACTAACACATTATGTATATTTTTTTCTCGCAAATTCTAACACATTTTTTGGCATAAATAAAAATAAAACCTTCTATACTAAATAGTAAAACATTTTTTTTCTTTGTATATACTACTAATTTTATCCACAAAAAAAAACATTAATTTTTTTTCTTTCTTCTTCACATAGAGTTTATAGTGGCCACTTTAGCATCAAACCATTTGCCAATTTTCATCAAATAATTATTATCATCACCACCCATAAGTTCAAACAACACATATGACAATACCATAATAAATACATCCTTATCAATTTCATATGTTCATACTAATAATAAATTTTAAATTGTAAAGGGAAATTTTATGCAGGTTCATAACAATAATCGCGACAGAAGAAAGGAAAAATAGGAATCGTCGCAAGATCCCTTGTGCACTGCCCAGCCCAGATGCATCAATATGATTGGTTTCTCACCAGACCAGCGACTAAACTCTGTCCTCTTTCAGATCCGCGAACAGTCGGCAAGCACAACGCTCATTCCATCGCGTTGCACCGTCAGTATTGCTCCGCCATTCGCTTCCTTCGGCACTGACGAATAACACTCTTTCGGCTCTGTCCTTTTCGACACTGCGTACCCCCTCTGTCTGCATCGTAACACGCATGAGTACCCAGACTCTCTCTCCTGATCGAAATCACAACTTTCCTGATGAGCATCTCCGCACAAAGTCCACTGGATGCATCGTCATGAACCTCAGATGGGAAAAGGGTTTTCGAATTTGCTTTAGATCTGGGAGAAGAAGGTTAGTTTTGATTTTTGACATATTGAAATTTTCATGTTAGTTGCTCTGTATTTTTTCCAGAAAGGAAGATGAAAGAAGGTGAAAGAATGAAGAATGGAATAAAGCTGAGAAAGACAACGAACGATTGGGCTGGAAAAATCAAGTAAAGTAAATGTGAAAGATAGAGATAACTATGTTGTACAGTATGTTTTATATTCTCACATTTTTTTAGTTCTTAATTGGTGAATAAGAGTTTGTGAAAATTACTATTGAATCTGATTTCAATATTTGAGTTAAGCTTGTTTTGTTTACACCCTTGCCCTCGGTATAACACCCTTTTAGTTTTTATTTTCTATTTGTTTCTTTTAATCTAATTTGCTTAGTTAATTTCTATATTGTCATTTATAATTATTTGATCTATTCTATTAATCCATAACCCAACATTCATTCTAATTAGTTTTTATTTTATTATGGACCTTTAATTTTGGGTCATCCATTTCATTGATATATCACTTCATCTCAATATACCTCTTTTTGTTCTATTTTTTATTTCTAATTAATTATAAAATTGATGATTATTATTAAAAACATCAAAATACTATAAAAAAACAAATCATATGTCATAAATCAAATCACTTTTACTAATATCCCACGTCTATACTATTTTTGTTTCATTCAAATTTAATTTTATTTGTTTAATTAATAATTTATAATAGTTTAACTAAAATAAGTTAGTGTAGGATATTTAATTTTATTATCTAATTTTGATTATTACATAAACAGGAAAAATGAGAAACTAATATTTTTTCTTTTCATTAACATTTTATTAGATTAGTTTTATTTTAAATTAATTTAGTCATTAAACTTGTATTTAACTAATTTAAATTATCTTAATAGATTAATTAGTTAATTTAGATAATTGAGATAGTTATCTAATTAGGTTATTCCTTTTATTTAAATCATATTAAAAATATTAAAATAAGCTTTCTTGTACATAATTTCTAAAACATTATTTTAATTAAATTAATTCAATATTTTAATTAAATTAATTCAATATTTTAAAAATATTAGAATATCAATCTTTGGGTAATTAAATCTATTAATTTATTATTCAAAATTACATATCAAAATCCAAATGACTAATGAAATATTTCATACTTTTACGAATACTCCAACATGTATTCAACTTCTCATTATTAATGAAATGATTTAAATGTTCCTATGTCAAAAAAATTAATAATTCCTTCTAATACTATATGAAAATCACAATTTCACATTTAACCAAAACTCCTTGAAAACACTAAACACCAAATTCAATCCCGAGTCACTAAATTTGAGTATAGAAACAACACAGAAAGACAACAAGAAATAACATCAAGGTTAAGACAAATAACAAGAAATCCCAACCAAAGCTATATCTTCTACATATAAGAACATCTCTTAACATTGAGCACTCGTCAAACATAAACGCGTTATATTTACCAAACTTCAAATACAGTTAGTGAATTGAATTTGTTGGGATAGTTAGTTTGGGAGCAGCTTTAAACATTCATATTACAGAACATCAGTTAGTAATGAATTAAACCATATGACAAATATTTTACCATTGAATCCAGAACATTCATATTACAAAACACATAGCAGCAGATTGTTGCATTACTTAATCAAGATTCATAACAGATGAACCAAACCATAAAAGAGTAGCATCTAACTAGCATCAAAACTAAGCCCTCTCGCCTCTAATTCTGCGAGCGAGTTGAATATCCTTGGGCATGATGGTAACTCTCTTGGCGTGAATCGCGCACAAGTTAGTGTCTTCGAACAAACCAACGAGATAGGATTCAGCGGCTTCTTGAAGAGCGGAAACGGCGCTGCTTTGGAATCGGAGATCTGTTTTGAAATCCTGAGCGATTTCACGAACAAGTCTTTGGAATGGAAGTTTCCGGATGAGAAGCTCAGTGCTCTTCTGATACTTTCTGATCTCTCTCAAAGCAACGGTTCCTGGACGGAATCTGTGAGGCTTCTTGACGCCACCGGTGGCGGGAGCAGATTTGCGAGCGGCTTTGGTTGCGAGTTGCTTCCTTGGGGCTTTTCCTCCGGTGGATTTGCGAGCTGTTTGCTTGGTACGTGCCATTGAGAGTGGAGAAAGAAAAACAAATATCTGGTATGTATGTTAATTGAGTTGTGATTGATGAGAAGGATGGTGGTGTTTGGGTAATATATATTGGAGGAGAAAATGAGGAGCGAGCGGGAATTGGAAATAGAAAATAGAAAAATGGGAGAGATGGTGATCGTTGATTAGAGTGGCTATCTACGGTTGAATGTCTCTGAGGAAGGGTAATGGGATCGCGATCCGTGGCATTTGAAAACAACCAATAGAATTACTTCTTAACATTCTTTTCGTACTCTATTTATTTTCTTGCCTTACATTTCAATCTAAAAGTTGGACAACTCATTAATGAGTAAAACTAATATACCAAAATTATTTCTAACTAATAGGATTATTTCTTAATATTGCTTTTTTTCTTTATTTTTTATTTATTTTTTGGTAAAAATTAAAAAGAGCATTGTATTGTAGTACTCACATTCTGCACTATATTATTATCCATAAATCTAAAAGTTAGACAATTGATTAATGAGTAAAAATTATGGCACGTTGCTTTTAGTTTTTTTTAAAAAGAATTTATTATATAAGAAAAATTTATGTTTTGTTTATTATCAATCTGTTCTTCTCCTCCACAAATGGAACACATGGATGACTTCTCTATCCGGTATAAAAATAATTATTTATGAAAGGATTATAGAAATGATTATTATTCAAAAATTTAAATATAAAAGTTGTCATGTGAATATTCGTGTATATAACAATAATTAAAGTGATTCTTTCAAAATTAGTGGTTTGCTCTAGAAAATTTATTTTCCCAAATTATACTTTTGCATTCTTTTTTTTTCATAAAATCATTTCTATCTATCTACCTAAAACTATATTTCCAAATATTTAGATATGATTTAAAATATTATTAAAAATATGCAATTTTTATTTAGATATGATTTAAAACGATTTATTTTTATATTACTGGTCTAATAGATTTTTTTTAATAGATATTGAGATGAGATACAATATAGAAAAAATAAATAGAGATGAATAACTCTTAAAATATGAATTTTAGTATTTTTTTAAATGTAAAATTTCTATACAAAAAAAAAATTATTATTGATTTAAATATTTTTATACAAAAAATACTACGCCAAAAATAAGTTTTAGCAGCACATAAAAGAAAGCGTTTTTAGAAAAAAGCACTGTTGTAGGTTTTTAAAAAAATTCGCTTAAAAAGCGTTTTCAAAGGGTGCATTAAGAAAGCGCTTTTCAAAAGCGCTGCTAAAGGTCACCCTTAGAAAGCACTTTTTGAGAAGCGCTGCTAAAGGGTGCCTTACAGAGGGTACCTTAAGAAAGCGCTTTTCAAAAGCGCTGCTAAAGGTCGGCCTTAGAAAGCGCTTTTCCAAAGCGCTGCTAAAGTTGGCCTTTAGAAAGCGCTTTTAAAAGCGCTGCTATAGGATATGCTACGAAAACGCTTTTACACTAAAAAGCATTGTTATAGGTGACCTTTAGAAAGCGCTTTTAAAAGCGCTTTCGTAGGTAGTTTTATAATAAATATCAAAATTTTGTATCATCACTTTTCTATTGTTCTTCACGATCAAAACCCTAAACCAAAGCTCACAATCAAAACCCTAAATCAGATTTTCTTCACGATCAACGACTACCACTTTTCTATTCGTATCCTCTACGTCTTCTTGTTTCAGGACTACTGGGGCCGTTTTAGGACTTCTTCAGGACCTATGCCTCCTTTAGCATCTGCAGAGAGAACAACGACTACCGCTTGATTTGTAGAAAAGAAAACAACTAGACCACCGCTTGCCACAAGACAACCGCAAGGTGAAATCACAAAGTTTGCTGCATCAGAAATCACAACAATATACAACACAAAGTTACACAACTCAGCTCCAGGTATTTCAATTTCTAGTATAGTTTTGTATGAATAAATTGTTCTATGCTTGCTTTGATTCTAATTTATTATATTTACATACAATTAATTTGTTTCCTTACGTGTTGTTCTAATCTGATTAAATTTTATGGTCCTGATATTAATAGAAAACAACACATTTTCAAACTGATGTCTCCCTAAGGTCCCAACTAAGTAAAAAAATTGAAGTTCCTCTGTCCAATTATTTTATCAAACATCATTTATATTAACAAGTTGTGCATTGGTAAAACAAGCTAAGAGAGAAATAATATAGAGCGTAACAAAATATTTAATAAAGGTAGCCATATTGTTAACTATATTAATATATTGTTTTTTTCGTGTGCTTTTTATGATTGATTTTGAGCAATGATGGTTTCTTGTTTATGTGTTCTACTCGTCTCTTTTCTTAGTAGGAATGTATTATACTTGTGTACTAAAGTAGTTGATAGAATAAAATGAATTTAGTGATTTGAGTATTGGTTTTGTTATATGGTTGTGCAAGAGCAAGTGCAAGTTTTGAGTATTAGTTTTGTTTTCGAATTTATCATTTAGCTCAGATTGACTCAGAAACCGTAAACCATGGATAAGACATGGATGTATTCCAATCGATTGTTGAAAGAGTTTGAGAACGGGGTATCGGAATTCGTTAAGTTTGTTGTTGCGCACGCCGAAGACCCCAATCGAATGACATGTCCATGTTTGTGTTGCTGTTATGGGAATTGGGTTGACGCGGTTCAGTTGGCATCGCATTTAATACGGTATGGAATTGATAGAAGTTATACATGTTGGAATATGCATGGTGAGAAAAGTGACGGGAATGATGAATCGGGGGATAATAGGACCTATGCTTCAAACGACAATGGCACAGATACATATGATTATGATCGAGTTGAAGAGATTGCAAAAGCGCTTGAAGAAGATCTTAATGATTGTCCCAAAATGTTCGAGAGGTTGGTAAGCGATGCAGAGAAACCGTTGTATAATGGTTGTACAAAATTCACAAGATTGTCTGCGGTATTAAAGTTGTACAACTTAAAGGCGGGCAATGGATGGTCGGATAAAAGTTTCACATAGTTATTAGCCCTTATGAAAGATATGCTACCAGAGGATAATGTTCTCCCCAATCGAATGTATGAGGCCAAAAAGATGTTGTACTCTATTGGCATGAGCTATGACAAGATACATGCCTGTCCAAAAGATTGCGTTTTGTTTCGAAACGAGTATGCATCGTTAAATGAGTGTCCTAAATGCGGTGCCCCTCGATATAAGAAAAAGTTGTCTCCGGAAAAAGTCTTATGGTATTTTCCTATAATTCCGAGATTTAGACGAATGTATCGTAGTGAAACTGATTCAAGACACTTAACTTGGCATGTAGATGAAATAATTGTTGATGGAAAGTTTCAACATCCGGCAGATTCACCACAGTGGATAAAAATTGATAATGATTATCCTGAATTTGGAAAAGAAGCAAGAAACCTTCGCTTGGCATTGTCTACTGATGGAATGAACCCACACGGTATTCAAAGTATCTTGCATAGCACATGGCCTGTGATTCTTATGATTTATAACCTACCTCTATGGCTATGTATGAAGCGTAAGTACATGATGTTATCTATGTTAATTTCTGGGCCTAAACAACCAGGAAATGACATAGACGTATATTTGGAACCTTTAATCGAAGATTTGAAGATTTTGTGGGAGAATGGTGTGGAGGTTTATGATGGGTATAGGAAAGAAAGTTTCAACTTGAGGGCGATGTTGTTTGGAACAATTAACGATTTTCCAGCGTACGGAAATCTATCCGGGTATAGCATTAAAGTTGAAAAAGTGTGTCCTATCTGTGAAGATGGAACCGATACGATGCGATTGAAACTTTGTCAGAAGAATGTCTTTCTCGGTTATCATAGATTCTTAAATTCTAAACATCAATATTGTGGATGGAGAAAAGCGTTCAACGGAGATACCGAACAACATAGAGCTCCGCCTGGATTGACAGGTGATCAAATATTTGAAAAGGTGAAAGATGTGAGTATTCAGTTTGGCAAGCCTTTTACACATAACACTTCGGAAGATTTACTTCACCATAGACCGCTTCCGGATGGACACATGAAAGTATCGGTTGACGTTGATTTAGATATGGATGCGTTGCTGCCGGTACCTGACATTGTTGCTGAGACCATATTGCTGCGAGATGCAATAGGATCTTTTGTTGCATGGCCATCGGACCTCATTTTCATAGATGATCAGGTATGTTGAAAACAATTATGAATCTTTAAGTCTTCAACTGTCAGTTCTGACCTCAGTTATTTCCACGGTAATTATAGACTCCTACAAAACCCGCATCTAAGGGTAAAGGGATTTTACGGCACGACGAGTCTGATGTATCACAAAAAGAGGTACGTTTAAAGTGTTAATTATATGATCTGAATAAAAAACTGCATAATTTTATAATTTAACTGAGTCTATATGATTTTTAGGTACCTTTTCAAGGGTCACAACAAGTGAGCCAGAAAATCATTGGCGTACCACCCAAGAAAAGGGTTCCTACTAGATTTTTCCCTCGATACCGGCAGTGTCTTGAAACAAGAGTGGGAACAACAGATTTGATGGATGATGGTATTCGTCAAATGGATATGGATCAAGGTATCTTTGGTTTTTCTTGCACCGAAATAATTGGACATGAGGACGTGGAACAAATTTTCCGTCATAAAGAATTAGGCGTCAGTATTATGCACGCATACATCCGGTAACCCCATCTTTATATTATGTAATTAGCTGAATTTTTTTTTAAACATTTCAATGAATATAGTCTAATATTAATTATGTTTTTATTTAAGGTTGTTATATGACAAATTGATGCCCGGGAATCAATAGTCAAACAGATTCCATTTTGTGTCTTCCTCCCGTGTCAGCAGAGCGACAATTGGTAGAGAACCAGATTCAGTAAGAGAGCACTTAGTCGAAAGATTCATGGCAACTGGAAGTACATAAAGCTCATATCTTTGGGCGTATAATATTATTCCTACAGGGTTAGATTTTCATTCTAAGTTGATTTTAATATTTGTAATTTTTGCGTAGAAAATTTTCTTTTAAACTGTTGTTTTAAATTATA